ATGATGATAGTGATGATGGTGATGATGATAGTGATGATGGTATGATGATGATGGTATGATGATGATGATAGTGATGATGATAGTGATGATGGTGATGATGATAGTGATGATGGTATGATGATGGTATGATGATGATGATAGTGATGATGATAGTGATATGATGATAGTGATATGATGATAGTGATGATGATAGTGATGATGGTGATAGTGATGATGATAGTGATGATGGTATGATGATGATGGTATGATGATGATGATAGTGATGACGATAGTGATGATGGTATGATGATGATAGTGATGATGATGGTGGTAGTGATAATGCGGATGGTGGTGGTAGTGATGATCATGATGGTGATGCTGATGATGTACCAAACTGTACCAAATTATTTTAGGCAAACAAGTTATCAAAAGAAATTTCATTAGATGACTCTGCCCTATCCAAAAGTTTGGACAGTCAAACACTGGAAAATTTTAAACAAAATCACTGTTGGACTAAAGGTCAGAATTTAAATATGATTTCACTAAAACGAAATTGTAGACTTGCAAACGTAAACTATATTGAACCTGTCTTTTTTCACAGGAGCAAAGGAATTATTTGATTCTGGGTGTGGTGTAGTTTTTGGTGCGCACCCTTCTCAGATTTCCCTATTGTTCTTTCTTCATTACTGTAAATGCGCTGGTGGTGTCGAACCAATCTTGGAAAGTAGTTATGGCTCTGGCCAGGAATGGAAAATAAAGGTAGAACAGCCTGAGGGCATTCAGCTACTCACATTACCCAGGCTTTCAAAATAAGGCTGGCGGGCGCCGGAGCTCCAGCGAATGCCATGAAGGTTACCGCAGGTTGCTTTGTTTAGTGCTTGAAATATCAATTCTGCTCTCCTTCCTCCAATCTAAGCTTTCAGACAAAGTTATTTTTCCTCAACCTGCTCTACTTTATAGACTGGTTATTTTCAAAAACGACGTAGTATTTCGTAAAACTGATTTAGTTATTCGCCATCTTAAATCTTGACGTTACCTTGTTGAAGAATGAAAGTAGTGATACATTATATTTTACTTCCAGAGCTCAGTTGTGTTGCTATCTAATCAATATACACTGGTTAATTTGGATGATTTTACGACTCCCAGCTGGACCGCTCCCCACAGCCACCTAGTGATAATTCTGAAAACTCTGCCTTACTATATATCGAGTGTTACTACAGGAGGAAATAAACAAATTGTATTTAAACTGGATAGCTCTATCTTGACATCTTTAAAATATTCCACGTACTATCCAATGAAATACTTCGACTCTCTCAACAACAGGATGGCGCACAGACTATTTCCCACCGACTCTTGCAAAAAATTGGCGAGGAGAACGTGTGGCTCCAAGAGCCAGTGACAGAAATATCCCAGGTAACATTGGTTATTATTCCACTTTCATCGAGGTTTGATGGTAGCCTGCGTGGCAGGCCCTCAAATTTATGGGGGGCCTGATTTGCAGCGGGCAGGATTTTGGCGGGCTGGATTCAGTGGCTGGATTCCTCCCCCGGAGCCCGCCAAAATTCTGCCCGCTGCAAATCAGGCCCCCCATAAATTTGAAGGCCTGCCACGCAGGCTAGGTTTGATGGTTAAAACTGTTATCATAAATAAAACATTTTAGGACAACGACGAGAAGATAGTTGTGACAACAGCGAGTGGAAAAAAGAAAATCTCGAGTAAATTCCTTGTGATGGCCATACCTCCTCATCAGGCATGTAAGTCAAGCAATGATCTTGGGCATAAGCTACACACGTAAAAACACACAAGTTGTAACAAACTGCAGCAGACTTGTAGCAATGCTGTTCCAACAACTTGTCAACAGGATGTGCTCGCACTGCTTGTTGACAACTTGCTACAAGGTTGATGAACTCAACAGACTTGTTACAAGTTGTTCCAACAACTTGTTATCGTCCTGCAATTCAACAATATGTCAACAAGTTGTGAGTGACAACCGTGTAGCAACTTGATGAAATAACAGCATTGTTACAACTTGACAAGCTTGCCACAAGCCTGTTGCGAACACATCTTACACATCTCTCCTTGAATTTAGAGACGAAGTTTATTACAAAGTAGAATTTACTAATATTTGTCCATCATACCAACTCGTTTATAGTGAGGATAAATTTCACTCCTTGTTTGCCGTTCAATAAAGAACATTTATTGCGTCACATGCCTGTGGGTCACCTCATCAAGTTCATCGTCACATACGCCACGCCATTTTGGCGGGAAAATGGTCTATCTGGAGAAATCGTGTCTTTTGATGATTTTAAGATATTTGATAAACATGCTTATGAAAATGGTGGTACGTTTTTGTTTCTTGAGTCTAAGAGTTATCTTTTATTGATCCAGTGTTACTACAGGAGGAAACCTTAATTAAACTAACTTTATTTATACTGGATAGCTGTATCACGTATTTTATTATTTTTTAGTTTCATCAGACGAAAATGAAGACACTTCGTTCGTTGGTGAAGCTCCAGTGAGCTTAATCTACGATGCCACATCAGCCAATGGGAATGCAGCATTAGTCGGGTTCATTTCCGGTGTCGCGGCAGCCCGATGGACAAGTCAGTCGGTGAGAAATTTTATGAATCAGAAACGAATTTGCGTAATGTCATAATCAAGCATATAAAAATATTTCTGTAGGAGGAAGAGCAAAAGACAGGAGTGACGAAGTTCTTAAAGAAATTCTTTGGAAAACAAGCAGAAAGTTATTTAGATTTTGCTATTAAGGTAAGGGAAATGCCTTTCCTTTTCACCTGTCCATCTCTCTAATTATTATTGGTATTTATTTTACATTATTTATCTTTTATTATTTTATATTGTATATTAACACAGAAATATTTTATATTGCATATTTTTACAGAAACTTAGTTAAACTAGAAGGTGATCATTCTTAATAAGGGGGATTTTCGATGTGATCTCAATGTATTCTTTACTTGCTCTCAATATAGGATTGGTCTAAAGAAGTTTGGAATGGTGGATGTCCTGTGAACTATACCACACCAGGAACCTTATCTGTCTACGGAGACTGCTTGAAAGATCCTTTTGGGAGGTATCACATTATTCTCCAGTCCAAGTTGGCATCATCAATCTTTCATCTAACTATCCACAGATCTTTGCCAAAAATGGACCTCAGAATTAAAATCTTCATGCTCAAATTAGTCTATACCGAAAATCTCATGATGTTTGGATATTCAGGACGAGAGTTACGGCGCTTTGAAAAATGTTGTTCCACACTATTCTTGATGAGCTATAGTTCTCCAGAGTCCACTCGACCCAGTCTTTCGCGCGATCTATGTATTGTCGCGATCTCGATTTTGTGTCTGTCTGCAAAGATGTTTTTCAGGGGAAATAATTGAAACTTCAGGACATTTTTGTTACTATAGATTTGTATGGATTTTCCGCTACAAATGCATAGTAAATACAAAATTTTCAAAACGTCGTAACTCTCGCCCTGAATGTCCGAACGTCATGAAAGTTTTAGGCGTAGACTAATTTGCGCATGAAGAGTTTAATTCTGAGGTCCATTTCTGCCAAGTATGAAGATAAAAAATCGATAACGCGAACTTGGACTGGAGAATATGTTGTGAAATTGACTTGAAGCACAATTGCTACAATTGACTTGAAGCTCCGTCTTTGTATAAAGCTTGTGTGGTTAGCATCCCAGGCAAGCTGGTTTTGGTATTTTTTTGTCAAATCCAGTAACCAAATTAACCTATCTTCTATTTCCTCCCAGGATTCATTGGGCAGGCACAGAAACTGGGACAATATGGTCAGGTTTCATGAACGGTGCGGTTCAAGCAGGTACACGAGCTGCTAACGAAGTACTGCAGAAACTTTATCCTAACTTTATCCCTATCTATCAAGACAAAGTCGTGACGAAGATTTCTCAGAACTCTGGAAAGAATTATTGGAATATTGGAATTTTAAGTACTTTGCTTCTTGTTGCAATATTCGTAGGAATAGGGTGGTTTTAAAAAAAATTTCTTACTTATTTCTTTTATATTTTCTCGTTATAAACCCAAAGCCATTAGGCATTAGAAGATCTCTTATGGATTATAAATAACTAAATTATTAATTAATTTATTATAATAGGACAATTATTTAATTAGGGTTGAGTTTAGTTAGAGCTATTAATCTTATACGGCGATTTTAACCGTTATGCTCCAAATATATTTCATTTGTGTAACAGCTAAACATTGTAAAAAACCGTGTCCGGATTAGAAATTGCCAGTGTACATAAAACACTATATTGAAATGTATATGAAAATTATTGAATGATAAATGTTTTAAATACAAATTAGGTATTTTATAAAATTGTATACAAAATAAAAAATAATTATATGGACATTTTAACTATCTTGAGTTGACTATTTTATGCTAGAGAATCACATTTTTCCCGCGTGTAACATTCTAACAGCGCGTGAATTTAAATCAGTAAGTTTTAGAACTTAATTTAGTTTCAAAGCAAATACCTTATAAATAAATAACATGATGGACAGTTCACAAACGTACATACTGTTATATCGTCGAAAACAACGCGTTGATACTGCACTTCTCAATCACTACAAAAGAAAAATCAATGATTTTGTAATACTTCACAAAAATTGGAACACCTTAGCCATCGTTACAAAGCAATATTCTTTGCGACAAATTAAAATAACGTTTAATAGTTGTTCATATCCAATTCACAACTTGCTATAAGTTACGATATTTTTATTATTCCACTTAGTACACAAAGAGTATAGACAAAGTCTACAGGGTGTATCAAAAAAAGCGCAATCCTCGACTGAAATGTAAATTGCTAAACAAATAATAGACGAAAACGTTAAAGTTTACATTCATTTTAAAGCGTAGCCATTCAGCTTTCTAACAGTGGGTTGTTTCTTAAATTTGACTCATTGGTTCGCGGGTAATAATACTTTACGTTATTGTGATTGCAGATTAAAAAAAATTGAGATGGAATATTTTCTCATGAAAATAACTGTTTTTTCATTAAAACAAAAGAATGTTGCATTTTATTAAATGGATTGTAACAATAAGTATAATTAAGGCTTTTCTTCTACTATTTTTAACTCAGTTTGAAACTTCAAATGCGATATAATTTTGGCTTGGACCATCTAAGCTGACTGACATCAACTAGCTATAATTTCTGTTTACATTACATCGCAATTCGATGACACTCTGGCTCAGACACCAGAATGTTTTGACAATTCTAACATTTAAACCGACTAAACAATAACATAGTAAACTTGCATAATTAAACAGCAACTAAAAATGATAGGTTTTACTAAATCTTTTCCTGTGCAATTATTACTAGCATTGGAGACAAGGATAATAGTTTGTTTGAAAGAGAAGAACAGGCTTTGAAGTAAGCCTAAAAGCGTTTAACTAGAAATAGTATTTCGAAAGTTATTAAGCACAAAAGATGAATTGCGTTTATTTTGATACACCCTGTATATAAACTACAGTCATTTTCAAATGTATTTGGACAGATGCCCCAACAACATATTATTTTTACAAACTGAACCCTTCAATGTTGGGTCTTAGTCGGCATCTAATTACTTTGGTGTGTGATCGGGTAAACAACATTGAATGGGGAGGGGAAGTTATAAATGTTCACACCACTTACGTTTCAAATAAGGAAGAAAAATATTCCGACCAGAGTCATGATGAAGCTTGCATTCAAAATACCTGGAAAAAAAACAATCTAGTATTTAGGTATCAGGATTTTGGCCATCGGATCAGGATTTTGGACGCGATAGAACTAACTATTGAAGGGATTTGTATTAAGACGTAACTAGGAGCAGTTGTGAAAAATGCAACTATAGGCGCTCTGGCAGGAAGTGAACCTGCAGCCCTGGGATTCCAGTGCAGCGCTAGGCTGACAGAGCCACAGGTTCGATTCCTGCCAGAGGACCTATAGACCCATTGCAGATGACGTCACAGCGCCGGTGATGATGCATCTGGAGGACAAATTAGAAATTTATGCATAATATAACTTTTGTAAACAAAGCAAATTTTGTAAAAGTTTATAATAATTTTGTATCAAAATGGTTAGTTTTTGCGCTGTATGTGGTTGTTGTACCCGAACAGATATTGTTAGGGAGCATCTGGAGGACACTCTAAGGATTTGTGACGTCAGTGCAAAGGGTCTATAGTTGTATTTATTACGTCTAATAAATAAAAAAGTCCACTCGAAATAGACCTTTCCAGTAATTACGTCACAACTACATTGTTTTCAACTTAGGACCACCTTAAATCACGCTTAAATGGAATGGAGTTCAAGTTTTTTTTCATGGCTACGCGCAAAGGGGGTAGGTATTAAAAGGGCGTGGCAGGGGCTTAATTCGAAAAGGGCTGAACTCGGAGGGCTTAATTCGAAGGGTTTAACTGGAAAAATATCTACCCCGCGCAAAGAAGCAGAACATCCTTTTTTAACACATGTATGATAAAAAATTTATCATTTTGACCAATAAATGCGGGAATAAACCATTTCCATCTAGAAATAACTTCAACAATCAAGTACTTAGCGGTTTCAATTAAGGTCGTCCTATCCTCACGTTTTGCACACAATATAATTTTCATTGGGTCAAGATCAAAAAGGTATTCGTGTGCAAAACATGATGTGGACACTACGGGTGCATCAAATACTTGGGACAGATAAATTACTTTGCTTTCGAACATCATGCATATTTGGAAATGCAACAGTTCAGTGAGGGATACGGCAATATATTTTTTTATTATTTCATTTTAAAGAACTTTTAAAATTATATGTTAATCTCCTTTACCGATTTTGCGTAACTTTATTATTTCTTGAAATATTTTGACTTAAAATAATTTGCTGTCCGCCACCTTGGATTAATTTTTATCTCATTATCGGTGATTTTAGTGATGTCAAAAGCAGGGTTAGCCATATAAAACTACATCTAAATGACCAAATAACATTAAGTCTTGTTTGAAAAGTCGTCAGACAGCTTTTTATTTCAAATAGTTACTGAAGTATATGATTTTGGGCTCATAATAACCAATTGCTCTATGGATAAAATTCTTGCGTGACCCTGCTTATGATGTCCGCATGTCATGCATATCCGCCAAAATCCAAGATGGCGGAAAGCTCGCTGATTTGCAATTTTTTCTGTTCAAATATCTCAAGAAATAATAAAGTTACGCAAAATCGGTAAAAGAGATTAACATATAATTTTAAAAGTTCTTCGAAATGAAATAATAAAAAAATATATTGCCGTATCCCTTTAATAACATGAAAAGAGAATAGTTACATCAGACATGTCACAACTTTACAAATAATATGTACTCTGCATAAGACATATATACTATAGATAAAAAGCTACAGTTCTACACTATAAACTTGAATAAACATCTATTTACAAATGATCGCGTGTATCTCTCTGTCCGAATTTTTGATATAGGTTAAAGCTATGTCCTCGCTTTCTGAGTGCGTTCTGGCTCTCTTAGGGGATAATAGTTCACAGATGGATTTGAGAGTATATGGTGGTCACATGGTTAACTATAATATGGTCGCTAATTGACGCGATAGCGATACATTTTATTATAAACAACAAACTCCGTTAATATACAATCACCGTGTTACCGCGTCAGCATGGCCAAAGTTTTAAGACCCGTTCAAGCAAATTTCTACTGAACGAGTCAATAAAAACATGTCTATGTCTGACTTAACATACCAGCGCTACAGCACACATGAGTCGTCTTATCCAAGCTGCAACGAACGTCCGAAAGTGTCTGTTTCCGTTTGTTTGATGCGTAATACGTAATATTAGTGTTTCCTATCCCTTCACAGCATCGGTCAAGGTTTGTGCAAGAAAACGAGTTCGCCATGATAGCTGGAAAAACAACAGAAAAATTGGTATTGTTGTGTGTTTCTTCGTTAATGCAGCCACGACTATTTGTAGCAATTTAATAGTACTTATCGGATAACAAATAATGCCACCCAGTCGTGTCGTTACAGTAAGGTAAAAAATATACAATGAAAATAACGGTTATCGTTCCATGTTTCGCGCACCAATATAGGTTAGGGGTTAGGTATTAGGGTTAGGTAGGGGTTAGGGTTAGGGTAGGGGTTAGGGTAGGGGTTAGGTTAAGGTTAGGGTGTGTATATATGTATATGGAGGTATCCAGTTAACTTTTCAATACACTATAATATCCATTACATAACGTTTACTATACTGGTGCGCGAAACATGGAACGATTACCGAAATAACCCACCCTGATTAAAATATGTGCAGGAGGCTTGGCGAGAATTTGGAGCAAATTTTAGTACCCAGTCCGTGGCGTTAGTTTTGTACTAGCTAAATGAAGTGTAACTTGTTTGTTTCAAAATTAATATAACATTTAACAAATTTTTGTCCAATATGTGCTGCTGTAATGGACGTAGAATAGACAGATTTAGATTGAGGACGCGGACGTCAAAGACGACGTGAAAATGGCGTGTCGTGCCCATGTATGGATATGCTACGCCATTTTGACGCCATTTTCACGTCGTCTCTGACGTCCGCGTCCTCGATCTAAATCTGTCTATTATCACTCTCATGCATGAGCATTTATACCAAGAAATAGGAAAACGGTATTTTTTTGGCCTGATCAGAACGTTTCATTGTCTTTTTATTTTTTCGAAAATTCCACTGTTCTTTATGCCATCAAATTAGTCATTGTTATGACGTTTATGGTTAAGCCCAATGCATCAGAGATTCAACCGGGATAGCAAGCTAACGGCCCACGAATAGGTTTTTGTAACCACTGAAATTCTTAAATGCAAAGGTAGGGTGAAAAAGTTAATCTTATTTCAAGAGAATAAATGTTATATTGTTATTAAGGCAGGCTTGCTTATGATATATAGCTTTTATATTAAACATTATCAACTTCTTCATTTTTATTTATTTGCAAGATTACTCTACTTACGTTTAGTAGTGGGTTGACCAGAAGTAGTGGGTTGAACAGTAGCAGTGGATTGAACAGTACTAGTGGGTTGAACAGTACCAGTGGGTTGAACAGTACCAGTGGGTTGAACAGTACCAGTGGGTTGACGAGAAGTATTGGGTTGAACAGTAGTGGGTTGAACAGGTGCTTTAGTTAGAGCTTGAGTTGGACCTGGAATATAAAAATTAATGGTCTTGTTATACAATTACCATTCGTACTCCTCTCTAAAAGGGGAGGGAAAGGGGCAAAAGAAAATCAAGTCAGCCCTAAAGAGCAAAAAGGAAAAGTAAACTATAAAAATAAAACAGGACGACTTTGACCACTGAGTTACTGAACGGGATGCTTGATTGAAAAATTTGTCATGAGGAATATTATAGAAATATTACCTCCAAAAATATATTTAGTTCTTGCATTTTTTCAGGTAGAAATAAAAGACCTTATGCATAATGACGTCACAAGGCTTGATGGCCGCGAGGAATGCTGGTCTTAATAGTCATCACCCGGGAAAATTAAACAATTCAAAATGGCCACTATCGAAATTTTCCCGGTCGATGACTATTAAGACCAGCATTCCTCGCGGGCATCAAGCCTTGTGACGTCATTATACATAAGGTCTATTGGTTTTCCTTGTATTTTTCAGGTAGTTGTATCCCTATCAATGCCAAGCTTTCTTCTTATTGCCACTACCTAGACTCGAGAGTAATATTTTAGTGTGTTTTTACGTATGTAGGCTGGCAATCGTTCTGGGACCAAATCTCCCTGACAGTTCATCTAATGCCGTATTTATTACACACACAGACGGATCATCGATCACGACGCGCACATAAGTCTGTGTTGACCTAGCCTGTTCGCAGGCTAGTGTTGACCAACTGCATATATTGATATAGTTCGTATTATGTAACTGCCAATTCTCATTTTCGTTTGAAAACAGGTTAGATGTGCCGAAACTTGCCGCTTTGCCGAAATTTAATTGCTACTGACTTTATAGTCATTTTCATTTTACATTTTCAATACATCACTTTTAATCCACATAAAATAAATATTTAGCGTCGCGTCCTTCACAACGAAACGTCTGTATATATACAATACGTTGCCATCGTTATACACTTGTTAATGTCACGATGTTTACCATTTTGCCAGACATAGCAACAGTAGTGGATCCAGCAAAGCTTTTTTAGGGGGTGCTGGGCGAGCAGTCAAACACACCGCAACACTGGCCAGTAGCATACTGTCATGAAAGAGCACCTATAGTAGTTTCTTGGTTACAATTTAATGATATGTTGAATGAACATAATTTAATAATTATATAAAATATAATTCCCCGATTCCTTGATACTGTGATTGCATAAAAGAGAATGGAATTTTTCTAATGTTAGACGTTTGCAGCAAAATTAAGAATTTGCTTTATTCAAAGTAAATTAATTATTAATATTGGACTTATTAGTATTTTGAAGTAGTACTGTGGCGATGCCTTGAATTCCAAAACTTAATTTAGTCTAAGATTGTTGACAAACTTTGAATATCTCGAACATTTAAGATAAACTTAATTCTTGCACTACCCTTGCACCCCTGTTGGCTGTCAATCCTATAAATCCACCACTACATAGTGATGTTAAAATCATACTTGATGATATAAATTAACTTTTGAAAATGCTGCACCACAACTCGTAACAAGAGTTGTACTTACCCCATGAAGAGCTCGTTGGCATCAAATTAATCCCAGAAGTTTGAGTCGCATTAATCACAGCACTAATAGTCGCATTAGGTGATGAGGTTGAATTTTGGGCATACACGCGGGACATGACAGCAAGCACTGCACCGAACTAAAAAGAATAAAAAAATTAACAAATATATAGACAACATATCACGGCAACTTTCTCAACCTTGAAAAATCATTTTTCTTTTAGGATGGTTTTGAAAGTTCATTGCCGCATTACATACTTCTTAAATATGATTTTGCAGATTTAGAAACACATCGAGTGCAAAAAACTTTTAAAAATATTTGGAATGTAATCGCACTAGAGGTATTATAGTTGATGATGGTGGACAAGATCCCAGTGAGATAATATTGTTAATTCTTCTCATAATGTATAGTAAAATCTTGTATTTAGATGTAAAATATAAGTGTCGGCATTCTCACGCTGACCACCATGTGCTGGCCGGTGACGCTTGATGAAACCAACACACGCAAAAGTTGTTACGGGTCTCAAAACAATTAAGTTGTTACAAATCTGTTCGCAAGCTGTCGACAAGTTGTGTTCGCACTGCTTGTTCCCCAGTTGCTGCAACAAGTTTGGAACAAGCTGTTGACAACTTGTAACAAGCTTGATGGCATTATCAGACTTGTTACAAGGTTGTTCTAACAAAGTCTGATACAGTCATGATATAACAAGAATGTTACAAGGTTGACAACAAAAGGTTGTAACAATATTGTTATATCATGATTGTATCGGACTTAATTGTTGAAACAACCTTGCAACAAGTCTGATAATATCAACAAGGTTATTACAACAAGCTGTTAACAGTTTGTTTCAAACTTGTTAACAACTTGGGACAAGCAGTTCATGCGAGAACAACTTGTTGACGGCTTGTTGGCAAACTTGCTACATCACTACAAAAATCTCCTAATATCAACTTACCATCATTAAATTCGCCATGATTTTACCAACTTTACCAAATTTCCAACCAAATATATATAGTTCTGCTCTTTAGCTCACGAAAGTACAAATTAGCGCGCCCTCGATATACTAAATCACGATCTTAATAAAGCATGGTTAAACCCTCTTACAAAAACTGTTAATCCCTCGCTTTTTATATCAAGATTAACAAAAATCAACATCACTAAGCTGTCAGTGGATACTACAAAGGTAGTCAAGTAAATACAACAAAATAACGAGACCGTTTTAAGTAAATATTGCATTTTTAACAGCAATTTTCAAATTAATATGAGCACCCGAAAATATACGAAGGTGACAGTATAGAATATTGAAAATTGCGTCGTTCAGTAAACTAACAAAAAATAAACTAAAAAAAATCTTGCACCAAGGCAAAGTGACCAGGCAGTCTAGACACTCGGCTGGCTTTGGCAGTTTAGTCAATTTTGGGCTAGTATTTGGTAAGTATGACATCACATACAGAATGAAAGCCCTGGGTCCCAGTTCAGAAAGAAAGGCTGAAATTAAAAATAGAAGGCGCGAGGGTATTAAAGAAAACTCTAGTATATTTCGTGAATTCGTGGAGTTTTTTTGTTGGAAATACCACGTATATTTAAACAGCAAAGCTTATTCCGTACATAGTGAATAGAATAAGGTTAGGGAACTCGATGCAGACATAACACAATTACACACCTCATTATCTATGTTTTTGTCATAGTTTATGCCAACCTCGTACCCAGGGCATTTTGCTTCCCACTCAGCGAAACCCTCTGGATACGAGGTTGGGTTTATGCAAGAAATGGTCGGTTCATCGTCACGTGTGTATTATATTTTCTCAAGAGCAACCAATAGCTATGTTTTCATTTAATCATTGTGTAATATCACGACTGGGTAATTAAACCAACACACTGCTATAGGTCAGTTGGGCGAAAAAACAATAACCCTTGAGTCCGTTTCTACCAATATATATTGCTAGATTAATGTAAATTGACAAAACAAACTTCGTCATCCCTTTCTAAATTCAAGGAGAGCTTGCATAATTACCGAGTGAATATACGGTATTTGTGTATAGAGCGTTCCCCAGGGACCAACTCAACAAAAGCCATGGCGACCATGTGGGTGTTCCAGACAAAAGAGTCTAATTAAAATTCCTTTGAAATGGAACACCAACATGGCGGCTGTGACGTCATGTGTAAACGCTCAAAATGTAGTGATATCTACGGTAATTGCTGGTCACCGGTTAATATCAGCTATTTCTTGTAATTATGCTCACCCGTCTTTGTTCCAGTTTAAATAAAGTCATTGATATTATTTATTAGTGAACTAGCGGACGAATTTGCTACGATTTAAAATTCTTCCTTTTTCGTGTAAAATGTGAGATAGGCCGCCATGTTAGTTTATCCCGCCATGGTTTGTAATACTGATGCACAATCCTCCATAAAGGATTTACGCACGAGCCGCGTGTATTCTTGGGTTTCATATGACGTCACAGAAGTGACGGGGGGTGAACTCTAAAACAAAACAGTTATCAGTGTGAGTCGATTGTTCGTTTTATGTATTAGCCTTGTGTTTGGTGGCAAATACATGGAATTTCATATCATTTTTTCACTCCAGTACAGAATAATACATTTGAGGTTGCCCCCCCCCCCACGTCAGATTCACTGCATAATGCCGTAGTGAAACCCTACGAAATAACAGCCAATCACTGATCAATAATCGGCAAGAACGTGATTTCAAGCCCTGAAACATTGAAGTTTCACGTGAGAATCGGCGACATGCTCATGTGATAACATAATGGTATTTAAACAAGTATAACATTATTTTTAAAACTATACACATTGGAAATAACATTTGAACATAATTAAATTGTAAGTGCATTCTGTGAACATATATTATCTGTTCTCATCACAGAAATCAATTTACCACAAAGAGAGAGAAATTTGAAGCAAGTGTATCACATGAGAACTGACACAAACTTGCTTAATGTCTAGAGATATTTTAAAATTACAAAGTAATGTCATGCTTAGCATGTGTCAAACCTAATGTACATAGACAGATTTTGCTTGCGGGGAGGGGGTGCCAAAAATTTGGAGGAGGGGGTGGGACAGGGTTGTGGGACAGGGCTGTGGGTAAGTTTGCCCCCAGGAAAAATTTAAAGATTTTTGGACTTATTTAGTTCAAAATCCTTATTCAAACACCATTGTCATTTAATCCATTAAGTTTCAAGAGAGGGGTGTATTTCTCTAGGTGGAAAAACTTTCTGAGGGGTGCAAAATATTGGGTGGGTGCACACCCCCTGCACCTCCACCAGAAAATCCACCAATGTGTAAATCACTTATGCCTGTATTCTGAAAGCTCACTCACACTCAAAAAGTGGAGATTCAATCTGAGCTTCTCTTGAGTTCAATGCTGTTTTTGAATAGCTGGAGGGTGAGTAGTCACATAGTAAGGTACAACACTAACCCTCCAGCTATTCAAAAACAGCGTTGACACTTGAGAGAAGCTCATATTGAACTTCCACTCAATAAGTGTGAGTGAGCTTTTAGAATACGGGCGTTAAACTCATTATCTGAATTCATTTGCATTAGGTTGGACACATGAAAAGTTCAAGATTGAACCAGGCCTAAAGAAAGAGGCAATGATCTGCTTTGTTATAATTTATCATGCAGATATATTACTAGGAATGTTCATTGCGGCGATGCAATGATTTGCCTGTGAACGACATTACAAAATAAATACATGTCTTATTACTGAGCACTTATCTTGTGCAGACCAGGTGATAGGTTGAGTGATGTTCAAGTTGCCGCATGTCGTTGGGCCTGCGCTTTTACTCTCTTCTCGTAGTCCACTCGATTTTGACTAAATAACACAAAACTCTTTAAAGGGATGTGCTGGATACGAATACCAGTATCCGGTAAAATAATGACATTCGGCAGTATCCAATTATTAACCGGTATCCGACAAAGCAGCACATCCCTAACATTTCCCGAGACTACCAGTCTGGCTTGGCAGACCCGCCATTGCTTATGGAATATGCAGGGATAAAATGTTCATAAAACCAGGTAAGGTGAATGATTCTTACCTATATATTGTATACGCCTCTGCCTGAGCAGGATCTTTTATATTGGGATCATTTAAGAGATCTTGTATGCCTAGAAGAATCTAACAATTCACAATAATTTAGAGACAAAATAAGATACAGTAATTTGAGTAATAACATGATTTTTCTGTGTTGCTGTAATGTACTCAGGTGAATATGATGTTTGTGATGTTACTCTGAGTGTATATCCACACTGGGCAAGCTTGAAAAATATGCCTGACCACGGTGGGAATCGAACCTACGACCTTTGGAATACTAGCCTATGACCTTTGGAATGATGATTAGTGAACTGTGAACAACAATTACAATTCAAATACAGTAGTCAAGCAAGACTTTGCAGTAGTCAAGCAAGTCGATGGGCAGACGGCACACATGACTGACACAACTCGACACCAGAGCTGGCAGAGCACACCCCCACTAAATCATGCTGGATCAATCCTTGAAGAATGACCCAAACCCCTTACCTGTTTTATAGTGACTGCAGGTCTCCAATCTTTTTCTTCATCCAACAGTGAGAGACATACCGTACCCGAGGGATACACATTCGGGTGGAATATTGGTGGTTCAAATTTACCTACAAGAAAATAATGTGGTTTTCATCATTTTTCCAACCTTGAAATCCAGACAAAACAAAGAAATATCGAGAGTATTTTTTAAACGTTAATTAGACTTAATCAGGAGCAGTTGCAAACAGTGTGCGAATTAACGGTGTGCAATGTGCAATTTGCACATCGTTTTGGCCAAAATGGAGAAAATTGCACATCACTTTTTCAAACAATGTGCAAAAAAAATTGATAAACGTTTCATGTTTACAAATTAATGCCAATTAATCCGCTTTTATAAAGTGCTTTTTCAGCAACGCATTAACGCATCTGAAATATGAAACGTGTTCAACACAGCAAAGATTAAGTAACACTGGCAGCGATTTTTTAGAGGTGAGAGAAACACGTGCAGAATGTAAATGTTCTGCATCATTAACTAGCATTCTTTAAGCCAATCACAATACAGTCTTCATCAAAATCTTTATCTGATTGGCTCGTTGTTAGCGGATAGCAACCCAATCGCGTCTGCTACGACGGAAATTATAGAGACGGAAATGCGGTATATTTGATAACTAACTCGCTTTGTTGAGCTTTAAATGTCACTCCTTTCTGCGCAAAGTGCCAAAGTTAGCTAGCTACATTTTCCTCAACAACAAATATACAGCCAACAGCTTAATCCAGTTCTTACTTCTTACCAGTCATTTAGTATTTTACTTATATTTGTGAATTAAGATCGAGAGATTTATTAGCGCTTTTACTGCGAACGGTTATAAAAGCATACGGAAATCAGCCTGCAAACAAGGATATTCTGTGTTTCGCGTTTGTTTTGCCCTTCTTGTCATCATGACAAGTACCAAAAGTCGCCAAAGAAGCTCAGAGAACTGAAAAAACTTGCTGAAGCGTATGGAGAAACTGTGTATAAGCCTGTCAAGGCAAGCGGCACGAGGTGGATAGATCACAAAGTGCGTGCTACCAAAGTTTTCCTGGAGAACTATGGCATGTATATGCAGCATCTTGAGCAGGTAAAAATGGCGAATTTTACTCTCTTCACCAGCTGGTAAAGAGCAGTTTTCAAACATTCTGAACAATGTGGAACTGCTATTGATTACACCCATCTCGAATGCTGTGGTTGAACGGATGTTCTCCACAATGGCGAGAATGAAACCACACCTAAGCAACAGAATGTCATGAGATAGATTGGACAGTCTTTTGAGAATTAGCGAGGAGGGACCTTCAGTGAAGGATTATGGATGCTGCAATTGAGCGGTGGTATGGACAAAAGAAACAAAGGATCAAATTCGGAGGTCACGGTTGTCCGGAGAAACTTAAGAAGAAAGTCGAGACGTCAGACGCATCACGCCGACATGCCTATTTTTCGGATCAACAGTCGTCAGAAAGTGACTAGCTTATGGAATTTAACATTTTAACTTGTTTATATGTATATTAAATGCACGTATTAGAAATATTAGATTACTACACCATAATAGTTGGCTTAATGGGGTATTTGATTGAATGTGACTCCCAGTAGCTAGATGTAACATTAATCTGAACCAATTTTATGACTCTGGAGGTACATTTTTCTCGAGAAAAAATTGCACATCGTTTTTTCTCAACTAATTCGCACACTGGTTGCAAAAAATACAACTATAGGTGCTACAGTCTTATTTCAATGTGGATTCAACGTTGAGTTACGGTTGACAAGATTGGCAACCTAATCTTAAGTTTGTTTCAACGTCAAAAGAGTAATTTCAATGCTTTTTCAACATCTATCCAACATCTGGAAGATCATTTCCGATGTTGATTCAACATTGAATAAACGTCATTTTGCCTGCTGGATATGGGCACTACAGTCTAACTTCAACTTACATTTTGGAGGTGATGAGGGGTAGTCATCTTTAAAGATCATCCTTAGTTTATACTGGCCACCTTCCCAAGGAGTCTAACAAAAGAGAACACATTTAACATCAACTGGATTATATAGAGCAGACCCATGCACATCTAACAAGACTGCAGCAGGACTCAGAATTCATCTGAAATCTTTCTTTCGTAACGTTTTGCCGATGTTTTTCTGAAAGTCTCCACATCGTTAAGCGGAAAAATTACTTGACCGCAGCAGGACTAGAACCTGTGACCTATGGCTACCTAGCAAGCTGCTCCATTCACTGTTTGGAGTGCTCTGGATTTTCAAAACACTAATGAATGGATCAGAAGACAGTCACATGACTGTTCTTCACATGACTGTTCTGTTCTGAACTATTCTGACTACCCCAATTTTCGAGTAGGGGCAGCCAGAACAGATACATGACACTGCCTATTTTCAAGTACTTAGAAATGGAGGTGACATATTTTGTGTATCCAATGCACACTGCATAGAGCATTATTTTGAAGGGTTAACCACCATATATCGACATATACTGTAATTATTATATGTCACTTGAACGCCAGGGTAGGGCAAAATCAACGAGTAAAAACGTTGCAAAAGCATACCTAGATATACAAATAACAGCAAACCATTATACACTTTATTATGCGAATAACTAATTATAATATAGTAATGCATGGTTGCACGCATATATAATAAACTAAACACTGTTCCAGAACACTGTGTGCACTCCATTGAATTATATCATTCCAGAACAGTGTTCCAAATGTTCTAGAACAGTACATAGAGCAGCCTGTAGAGCATTGGATTAGCAAGCTAAAGGTAGCAGTTTCAATTCCCAAGAACTAGCAAGTTTAAGGAGTTTCTCACTCATTCGTGAGCAGATTTCCCAACAGGCTAAATATTATCCAATTGATAGGGGATCCGAGCTAGCTACGATTTAACGTCCTTATCCGAGAAGACATGAAAGTCTAACCATTTACCAATGTCAATGTAAAGGTAGCTCTTTCTCCTCAATTATTTTAAGAACTGGAGTAGAGGTCCAAGCAAGGATTGAACCCAAGTCTCCCAGCTTAAAATGCAAGCGTGCTGACCACAAAACCACAAGTGCTGGTTTTCTTTAGCCAAAGGTTCTTGCCTGGTGTCAAGGCTCTCAGAATAACATCTTTTAAAATTTTCACATATATACATAATTATTTATACATACTCCTTTTTTTCCAGGAATTGCTATAAAAATAAATAGATCTACTTAGTGATATGTTGGTCAATTAAGAGCTTTTGTTCAATGGTAAACATTGATAGGCTATGTTTCCACTATACCGGATAGCTTTCTGTAGCGGCACAAAAAAGCATCTATCCCATATGAAATGTACAACTTTCAGATGCTGAGCGAAACAACATCTCTCCGTTGCAATAATTCCTCTGAAAATAACGTTCCTAAAAGGTACATATAGGCGTTTTCTCGCATTGCTACAGAAAGCTATCCACTACAGTGTAAACATGGCCTAAAGCATTACAAATAGGACATACCACATTCCCAATTCATAAGATTTAATGTTCCATCTGGGTTTTTTATTGGCTTGGCAACAAAACCCTAGACAACATTAAACAGTCAAAATTTGGTTAAGAGATAAGCCAGTCAGGCTTACTGGACAGGTACAGTATATGAATCACATATGGAATAAACTCTGGTTTATATCACAAAATATTTGCCATATTTCCATGAATTTATTGTATTTCACTAAATTATGCAGTTCTTAATTGGTGAGGAAAAAATTGCTTGTTGAAAATATTCTCTTTTATATTATACAGATCAATTTTTAGTTCTCTATTAAGCTTAAAAGTCATACCCAACCAGTCATAAAACTTTAAATAAAACTTTCTATTGAAATCCCTGGCAGTTAAAATGCTTTCAAAGAGAGAGAGTTTATTTAGGCTCTTTGTACTTTATATTTTTCAATAAATCAAAAGTACTGACAAAAACAATAGACATATTAAATCACAACGTCAACAATATAAACACAAGCCAAACTTAAGCATACATAAGTACAAAATTAAATACGAATTTACTCACTAAACACAAGAAATTGTTAATAATGTACTGTATAAACTAAAACCAAAGTGATTTAATACACGACCCAAGTTAGCAAACATAAACTAAGCAATTTATAAATATGAATCTTGAGGAAGGACTTCGATTCCTTCATTCCTTGAACTAACATAGAGCTGTCCAGTATAAATAAAGTTAGTTTAATTTAAGTTTTCTCCTGTAGTAACACTGGATCAAAAAGAGATAACTCTTCCTGTATGGTATACCTCTTCCTGTCGAGAAAACAGTTCAGAACTGACAGAGTTATCAAGTATAAAGTTCCTAACTTCACATAAATTTATACCACATGTCAATTTTAAAATACGTACAAACGGATGATCTTTTCGCCACGCCTTTCTCTCTTCTGACAAACGACCAAGGGCAATGCCAGACATTGTTATAAATTCACCGTAAAACACAGAAATTTGAAAGATCTTTGTAAATTCTACATTGGAAACGTGAAATTTTCTAATTTTCCAAAATGCCTCTTGCCAAAAAACTTCTCTTGATTCAGCTCTCACGACCACACGGCATTCTGGGACACGGTGTTTCCACTTACCGAAGATAAATTTCCCGGAAAATTTCACAATAATTTCCTTCAAATTTCTCAGGGCTGCCATCTAGCCTGGGGTGCAGGAGGGTGCGCACCCCACCTAGTGGTGTCTAGCACACCCCCCCCCCCACCCTAGAGAAGTCCTGCAGCACTTCTTCTGTTTTTTGAATAGCGATTAGTGGAACTTCTATAGACTCTATATGTAAACATGTCCAGCAAATTTACTGTACATGCAGATTCGGCCATCTCAAATAATGGTAATGTTGGGATAGTAGCATTGCAGACTGCAGTGGAGAGTGGGCAGTAAGGATCCCTCGTACATCACCCCATGAAACCCTGCACCCTTCCTTGCTGAGTTGGCCAGATCTGCCCTTGGCCAATTTGTCACAAGAATATTTAATTTCTTATCTCAAAGCGAAGTGAAGCAAATAAAGAGATTAAATTTGTAAAATCAGTTTGTTAAAAATCAGTACTATTAATTTTCCTTAAATTTCTTTCCCTGGCACTCTGCCAAGAGCCTTTTAAAGGAAAAAATTTCTTCAAGGTGGAAACACTGTGCCTGAGGGATGCTTGATAGGAGAATTGCTTTTATGATCAGCTCAAGCAATTTATGTTAATTAGCTTGCCGCTCTGCGGATCTGCAATACAAAAGATTGGAATGCAAACTAACAATGTCTATCCAGCCAAGAAATTTATATGTCTATAACAAGTTTAGCAGTGGTTTAAAATTAAAACTAGTTGTTAGAAATTTGAATTACAGAATTGTTATTCAACAATATCTGTAAAGAGAGATACGAGGCCGATATCTTTCAGATGACTTTTTTCTTGATTAATATTCAACAACTTGCAAAGTTACTACATTAACATACATTAGTATTACATAAATTAAAATACAAAAATAAAGTGCAGTTTACTTGTGTTAAAAATTCTAGTTAAAATGCGATTAAAAATGGCATACAACTTCGGTAAACGAACAATTTTTCCTAGAAAAGTTGTTAATATTTTAATGTTTCTGTGTTGAGCATTTGAATGTCACTGAATGGTTATAAATGTTTCACGAAAATCATTGAATGTCTGTATTAGATCTGTATTAAAGTGGGTGTTCCTATGAAGGCGGACATTTAACTCATCATATGATTTTATAATCGAAATAAATCAAACGGCATTGTACTGGCCAAACAGAACACTTACGCGTAATGGATATAGGTCAGCCAGGTCACGTCCCATATTAACAAAAGATAAAAATTAACAGGAAATTATACGAGAAGCCGCACCCCGGAAAAAGTAGTCAGCCTGGCAGGCGACCATAGAAACAATTCTTTAATGCCCATAAATGTTGTAGACTACCCTTGAGTAAACTTAAACATCCAGGATTATATAGCAACACTAAACCTAAGCTATTACAAGACGTTATTTACATACAGTCTTTGTGCAGATAACAGACAGATATAACCGCCTCAAAAACACTCCCAAATCGTTTCAAATTATTACAATGTTTTGGAGTACATCCTGTAATTTAACTTCGTAGTATTTCTAAAAATCTCTTCATCCGATGACTCATCCATGAATACATGTGAACTCCTAGGGATCTTCGCAGTAGCAGGAGTCTTTCTTGGTCTTTCAAGACTTTTATACCTGCGTGCCATAAGATTTGTATCGAACTCTGAATCCTCGCTGAATGAGTAAATTGTTGAAGATGCTTCATGAGTAACGGAGCTATCTTCTGGTTCAGACATTGAATCATCTTCACAGAGCAATCTTTGTAGTCGAACTGAGAGATCTTCGCTTGTTTCGCTTGCAGTCGTTCCTCTATTTTTACGTTGTTTGACATTATTTGAAGTCTTCTCTTTATTGCTCTCATTTCGTCTCAGTATCTCACTTACACTCTAAATGAATAATATAATCAATCATTACAGGCAGTAACAGCAACAAACAGTTTTGAAACATTGTTTATTCATACTTTCGAGAGTGTAGAAGCAATTACAATTACTACCAACATCTCAACACTAACACCACAATCATCACCATCATTTGCATTATCACCATAACATCCAAACCATCACCATCATCTGAATTCACCACCTTCACCATCACCACCACTATCATCACGATCACCATTATCATCATCAAGACCAACAAACACCATCACCATCACCTGACATCACCACCATTACCACCACCATCATCACCACCACCATCATCACTATTATCATCATCAAGACCAACAACCATTGTCATTGACAACACCACCTTCATCATCATCACCATCAAGTCCAAATTAACCATCATCTGACATCACCACTTTCATCATCGTCACCATCATCACCAGTATCATCATCAAAGATAACACCATCACCATTTCTTGACATCACCACCTTCATCATCATCACCACTACAACTACTCCTACCACTACTACTCACCCCTCCATTCTTAGGCTGCTTGAATGTTTCACTTGTAGCCGCCATACTTTCGTTTTTAAATTGTTTCATAGTGACACTACTAGACACCTCTCTTCTTTCTGTACTTATAACTCTGCCACTAGTAAAACTCTCACGAGAAAATCCAGCAGCCTGGTAGTTTTGTGTAGAATGAAACATCTTCTGCTCGTCTTTCACGGCGTTCCCCTGGTAGTTTCCTTGAAACGGCTGAAAACCAACAAAGGAGAGATTGTTGTTTTGGACATCCAGAAATCCAGCTGGCTTCCTTTGCTCGTTTTCATCATGTCTTACATCTCCAATCTTAACTTGTGATACTTCTTTTCCTGTAGGAAGATGCCAATTCCATTGGACAGGGTGTACACACGTAAAAATCTCACAACTTGTCAACAAGATGTGTTCGCAACTGGCTTGGAGCAAGCTTGTCAACAAGTTCTAACAATGTTGTTATTTTATCAAGTTGCTACAAGATTGTCACTCACAACTTGTTGACAAATTGTTGAATTGCAGGAAGATAAGAAGTTGTTGCAGTAAACACGAAGCTCTAGGAAGATGTTCTGTGACTGGTTGATTATGACAATGACAAAAGACGTAATTATAGCTTACATAAACAAAACTTCAAAAGGAATATTGTTCTTGCTTCGTTCTTTAGAAAATCCATTCTATAGCTTATTCTTTCGTCATTGTCATAATCAACCAATCACAGAACATCTTCCGAGAGCTTCGTGCCGACTCAGTTGTTGGAACAACTTGTAACAAAGTCTGTTGAGCTCAACAACCTTGTAGCAAGTTGTCAACAAGCTGGGAACAAGCAGTGCGAATACATCCTGTTGACAAGTTGTTGGAACAGCATTGCTACAAGTCTGCTGCATACAGTAGACTAACCCCCAACAACAACCATTGTCACATACCTTTATTTCGTTTTGGTTTTGGCAGCACAGGGGGTGGTTTTGGTTTTTGCTTGGGAACCACATTTGTAGCCAACATTTCATTCCTTGGCTCGTATCTTCGTTTCTCCATCGACACTGAGGAATCTTTCACTCCTGTACCTCCCTTGAACTGGCTATTTTCTTGCAAAGTGGACACCGTGGCTTTCTTTGTTTCTTTATTCATTAAAGATTTAGGTCGGCTAAGTTTGCTACTAACGACCGTTTCGTTCTGTTGTTTTAGCGAGGTCACTAAACGTGTACTGGTTGCTGTCTGTTGTTCTTGAGAATTGTTATAAAAAGTTGTGGTTTGTTTTTTTGTCTGGGGTTTTATACTTGATGGTGGTGGAGTTGATTTCATTTCTACAGTTTCAACGAAATTGTTTGAAGTGGAACTAGATGATTGGGTTGTGGGCATAAACGGTCCAGTAGCAGCCATTTCATTTCTGGGTGTACCAAATTTCTTGCTTTCTACAATACAATAAGTTAAAGTGAAGTAAAATAAAGCAAAGCTAAAAAAGCAAAACATGGTATGGTATGGTATGGTAGGGTGTGGTATGTGGTATGGTATATGGCATAGTATGGTATGGTAATAGGTATGGTATGGTATGGCATAGTATGGCATAGTATGGTATGGTATGGTATGGTATGGTGTGGTATGGTATGGTATGGTGTGGTATGGTATGGTATGGTATGGCATGGTATGGTATGGTGTATGGTATATGGTATGGTATGGTATGTAATTCTTGACAAGCTATATTCAATACCTTCTGCATCCAAAAATTTGCCAAACCGTGGACCATCCGTATTATCCACAACTTCTACCGACTTGCTTGTTGTATGAATCAATGTTTGCGATCCACCAGCGGTACTGTTGAACTGGCTATTGGGTGAATCACCACTAGACTTGGTAGAGTTCCTAGTTTTGTCACCTTGAATGGGAGTAGACGTATCTTCAGGTTGTTTCGGAGTGTTTTCCAGACCGATTTCTTCTTCAAGGAGTTGAAGTAATTCGTCTCCACTGTCATTACCAACGTCATGGCTTTCTTCATTCAAGGCATTTGTTGTTTCTTCTTTATTCTTCACGGCGAATTCTTCAATAACATGCCCCCAATCCTCATCGACGTTCAAAATTCTCGTTTTATCTTGTTTGGTAACGCCTTTTCCGCCATTCTTCCCAGGGCTCGAACGGGCAAACCTCGCGTCCTCAGAAGCCACATCATGGGTTAAGATCATCTCAACAATACCTTCTCCAGAACTCGAACGACCGTGTCCCAAAGGTTTAGAAAATGGAAACGAGGATTGGATGCTTGTTATACCATTTCCAAAACCACTCTCAGGGCTGGAACGGGCTAAGTTAGCTTCTTCCGCAGGCATCTCATGAGTACGGACTACCTCCGAATTCCTGTCACCATTATCGTTTCCAGAACTCGTCCGGACGTGTTCCAAAAGTTTGGAACCTGGACGCGAGTATAATTCACTTGATTCTACGTTTGGCTTGTCGGTAGATTCTCGCACCACTTTCTTAACATCGCTCGCGCCACGACGGACAGACACCATGACTTTTTCAACATATTTCAGCTGTTGTTCTTTATTGATGTCTTCGTGGTTTACCAGGAAAGATGTAGCACCCCGTGCCGGGTTATGTTCGGTTGCATTTTGATCTTTCTGACTGGATGTGCCATGCTCTACTTCGTTGTCAACTAATCTTGTACTTTCAGCTATTTGGGTTTTTGCGTTTCTTGAGTAATCTAAAAAAGGAGTGAAAAAATATGTAATTATTAACTTCGCGGTTAATCTAGGAGTGAGTTGTTAGCACTCAAGGGTAGATTGACTATAATTTTTGTACTTCGTTATAACCAGGACTCCAAGTAGGAAAAACATATGGCCTGCCAAAAAATAGTCGAATAAATTATGGTCAGCCATTTCTATTTTTTTACTGCCATAATGGTCTCAAGAATGAACAAAAAGATTAAATGTTAATTTTCTTCGTGCATATCAATCATTTATGTATTTGCCCTACTTACTGTAACTGTTTTATTTCATTTCATTATTAGGAACCGTGACGTTACGGAAAACCGCTAACCGAAAATGGCAACATGCAAAGCGATTGTGTCGTCAACTATTGGACGCCATTTTGTTTTTGTAGAATTTCGCCTGCCATTTTATTTTTGAGTTGGGAGGTCAAATCTTTTTCGCCTGCCATTTCTGAAATATAGCTTGCCTTTGGCAGGCCGTTATTTCAAGCCCTTGCTATAACAGAAGAATAATGTAAGAGTGTAGTGGTACAATTACCTTGTTTGATATTCAACTCTTCATGTTTCAAATTCTCCTGAAACTTTTTATCGCCATCATCATCTTCACCAACAGTCTCCAAATTATCTTCCATGCTCTTGTTGAGAACAAGACTGCTTGTTTTCGTATGCTTGATCGTAAATCCTTTTATCTCTTCCAAACTTCTATCTCCTTCACTCTCTAAAGCCTCCATTACATGCGCTGTCGTATTGCCTTTGTTCTGCATGTTTGAGACAATTTCTTTGCGTTTTGCATCAGTTGTATTCAAACTAACTTCTGTAGTCGACATGTGTAGTCTTTCTCCCCTATCGTTCAACACAACGAAATCTTGTTTAGTATCTTTCACAAACTGCTTTTCATCCCTCTTTACTTTATTCTCACTTTCTTTGGCAACTCCAAAGTTCTTTTCAGGATACATTGTGCTAGTTAACACCATCATACTACTTTCCAGTTTCCCCAATTCGTCTGGCGTTTCTAGTTTTTCTGGTTTAGACAAAGATCCCTCCTTGCCATCTTTGCACTCTTGATCATTGAATGCTTTTTCGAAAAAATCAAAAACTGAATCAAATGCTTCGACGTTGTCCAGTACTTCTGTCTTTGAAACGGTCTCGTTTTCTACACCTTTGGCTCCTGGTGTATCTTTGTTCACGAAAGAACTAGTTGCATTCATTTTACCATTTCCATTCTCAATATTTCTCTGTGTAGTATAACTTTCATTAGCTGCTAGAGTTGTAAACTTTTTGTTACTAAAACTAGATTGTTTTTCTGATAGCTTTTCAACGCTTCCCGTTTTTACAGTCTTAGAATCACCCATGTGCTTCACCTTGGATATATATCTAGTTCTTCGTTCATTTTTATTTGATGAATCTAGTTCTATCGTTCCAGGTTTCACTTGGTTTTCTTCTTCTTCCGATGTCCTTGTTTTTTCGCTATCAGATTCGCCCAAATGTTTTGCCACAAAAGTGTTTCTTCTGGATTTGGTTGTGGTATCGGACAAGGTATCCTTTCTTTCTTCAATCGGACTTGCTGTAACAGACACAGTCGCGGTTGCATTGTTGTTTTCGTCTGAAGGTCTTTCCAATTCATTAACCTTTGTCTTTCCGGGAACTATTTCTTCTTTATCGGCGTTCTCCTTCGACGAGCTTTTATCTTTTTGAGGTAAAACTTTTGTGATGAATCCTTTGATTTTTGTTCCGAATTCACTTTTTTCTTCTCTTGAAGTTTGGCTAGAATTCTTAGTCTTCTTTCCTTCTTTTAATACTTCACGAGACTTCGCAGTTTCTTTACTGTTGTTCTTCTTTGAAGTTGCCTCGTTATCTTCTTTTTTCAAAACTTGATTCGAAGTTTCCAGCTCAATATCTTTTCCTATCTTCACGGGATCTTCACTTACACCCACAGCCGTTGTATCTTTTTTCTCTCTTGTGACTTCACTCTCCCCCAAAAACTCTTCACCCTCTTTCTTCTCAGGCTTGTGTTTACTTTGAGATGAGTTAGTCCTTCCTGCGCTCGTGAAGATTTTCGTGCTAAAGAAGCTACGATGCTTGGTTTTAGAAATGACAGTTTCCGATTCTTTACTATCCTTCGTGTTGAGCTCCTCGTGTTTTGAAACTAAATCAGTGTTTGTGCTATCTTGGTTAATCTCGACAGTCAAGCCTTTGTATCCAGTATCTTTGTTTTTCGCTTCGTGATCAGTGTTCACAATAACGGACTCTTCATGTAAGGAATTTCGTTGTCCATTCAAACCAACGTTCATTTGTGTGTTCATACCAGTACTTCGACTTTCTTCGGAATCTGCTTTCTTTGTAATGTTGGTAGTACTCATACTGTATGTTGTAGTATTCTTGTGGGCAATTACTGTGTTTGTGTTAGGCAGAGCAGTAGAGTTTTGGTCGTCTCCTCTCATGAAGCTGTTAGCAAATCTAGAACTATTCTCATCGCTCTCACTTTTCCTATTCCTTGATTTAGTTGTCCTTGATGAGACTTCGCTGATTCGGTAACTTGTTGTTCTCTCTTGAGACTCTTCATTCATGCTTTCTTTTGAAGTTGGAGGAAATCGTTCTTTATCTTCATGCGACTTTGGCTCGAATTGAAAACGAGGTTGTGCTGACTTTACGGTCGTATCATTCATTCTTCTTGAATCAAGTTTCTCAGGAAGATTATCGGTAGACGTAACTGGCGATGATGCATGTACAAAAATATCAGTATCTCTTGCTATTCTTCCATTTTTCTCAACAATTTTCTCAGTTGTTATTCTTCCTTCATCACCGCGATTCTCTTGAGAGGCTACGACCACATTCGATGCAGTTTTATCCTCTTTACCGCGACGGTTTCCTCCACTCTCGTTGGCTGTAACAGCGACTGGTGTAACACGGTTCCCTCCTTGAAAGAAACGCTTTCTTGCACTTCTTGGGGACATAACAGGACTTGTAGGTGAAGAGGGGATAGTTTCCTTGCCTTTGGAAGAAGGAGGCTGCTCAATTTGAACCAAAGTTTGGGGTACTTCACTTTTACTTGTGTAAGATTGGTTAGATTTCGTAGGATTAATGCTTTTTTGAGATGATGCTGGAGAATCAACGGTTTTGGATTCGATATTTTGAGGTCGGACAACATCCTGACTTTCTGTCAGTTCAACATTCTCTCTCTTTATATCCTTTTCCGAGAAATCTGAACTTTCCAGAAATTCTTCACTCTTTGATGTATCCTGCCCCAAACCGCTATCGTTAAAACTACCATCTGCCTTGCTCTGTTTCGATTTCAAGAAATTCTTCTTAAAATTCTTTAACTTTGGATAAAACGATGACGACTTCAGACCACTCTTGGAACTATGCTGTAATTTATCTTGAGAGTCTGTTGGCGATGTTTCATGGACATTTTTCTCGTCTTCTTTCAATTTCTGAGAATTTTTCTTCTTCCCACCATGATCAGAATCTATGTCAAGAATATCGAAAGTTTTGTCTAAATTTGGTTCGGACTTTGTTCTTCTAATCTTCCCGAAGAAATTCCGAATTCCGAAATCTTTTTTCGGAGTTTTTACTGGTTTTACGGCTGGTTGTCCTTGAAGTTGTGTTGATGTCTCCTTTGTCATGGCATCATTATCATTTGATGTAAGTTCGTCGCTAGATTTTGACAGATACCTCACACTGGCTCTTTCGCCACCAATAATATATCGAGCTCGGAGTTTTTCAATTGGTTTGTCATTCTGAGATGTTGAGCCCCTACCTTCAACCGTATGGTCTCCCGTCTTGTTTGGTTTGACATTTCTTGTTGATTCTCTACGAGTATCTCTACTTTCTAGCGTTGTCAAACGCTTCTCATTTTCAATCTCAGTTGCCGTAACAGATACAATATTCGACATTGACTTACTAACTGCATTCCTCTTAAATTTTGGGTTCTTAGTCTCGTCATTTTCCCCAACTGCAACAACATTTAACAACAAAACCGATGAACTGTTCAGTTTCGTGATATTTTTTGGCTCTGCTTCTAAGTTTCCTAATTCCGCTTTTCTTATTTCAGGCTCAGGCTGTTTCATTTTCCCGCCACTTTTCAATCTATCCGCTCGACTCTCGGGCTCGGAACGAGTTCGTCGATGTACTACGTCATGTACGGTCACTTCAACTTGTCTTGAATCTGATTGGCTCACATTTTGCGAGGCAGGCTCGAGGGAAAACCACGAGTTCTCGTCATACGGATCATACATGGCTTTCAATTGGTTCACGCTTAGCTCGCTTTTTGAATGCTTTAGTGTTGGTTCATCATTATAAGTCGTTATATCAAATCCTGAAACATCGGCAGATTTTGGACGGACTCTAGGCCTTTGGTTTGAACGAGGCTTAGCTTCAGTATTTGTCAACATTCCATCCTGTTTATGATGCACATTTTCTTCCATCGGTACATTCCTAGCTTCACCGTTATAGTTTGTTATATCAAATCCTGAAACATCGGCAGATTTCGGACGAACTCTGGGCCTTTCATTTGAATTAGGCTTAACTGCATCATTTGCCAACATTCTATCCCGTTTATGCAGATTTTCGTCCATCGGTACATCCCTAGGTCCACTGTTATAGTTTGTTATATCAAATCCTGACACATCGGCAGATTTTGGACGAACTCCAGATCTTGGCTTAACTTCACGTGTTGGCATCGTATCCAGTCTTTCTATATTTTTGTCCATCGACAGACTGTTAGGTTCATAAGTTTTTAGATCAACTTCAAATTTTGGACGAGGTTTAGATTGTTGACTCGAAGTAGACAGTTCTCCCCACGGCCGAATCTCGCTTTTTGTTACCACGTCATCTTGTCTTGATAAATTTCCATCCATGGATAAATCTCTATTTCCATGGTTTGTAGGCTTGGCGTTCTTTTCAAGTGGTGTTATTGTTAAACTATCTTTACTGGCTCTTGTTGGAGCAATCGCTTGCGATAAACTTTTAGGCTCTTCAACTTTCTGAACTCTGCGCTCAAGCGACTTTGCTTTTGTAATAACTTGAGAGGGTGAGGCATGTACGACTTTCGCTGGCTGTCTATCGGGGTTCACATCAAAATACTTGTCATCAAACGGATTATACATTGCGTTTAGATGTTCAAAACTCAGTTCACTTTTAGCATGTCTTAGTTTATAATCTGCAGTGTCCTCCGACGGCGTTCGTTCTTTGTGAAACTCAACTGATTTTGTTCGCCTTAAACTCGGCTCTCTACTCACAGCTTTTCTAAAGTTCAATCTCTGCTGTTCAATCCAAGCTGAAGTCAATCTTCTCTTGTACGAGGCTTCGCTGTTAAATGATGAGAACCTTGCAAGGCTTGTGTTACTGTAGCTTGCTTTACTGGGAGTGGTTTTACTGTATACACTCGGCTGGGAGATTTCCTCGTCTGGTGTTTTCCTAGCTTTATGTCTCGCTCGTCTCTTTGGCGTTTCCTCGAACACCTCGACCTCAGGATTCTGGAGAAGTAACTCACCTTCAAAAGACATACTTCGACTTTTTGGACCACCTTCGGAAATCCTTCCATCTGATTGGTCAATTCGTACCGATGACGTAGTGGACACAACGGATTTTTTTGTATCAACTTCGCCAGTATACGTCACACGAGTTGACTGACCGTTACTTTTCGATCTCAGAGAAGATGTGGAATGTTGTTTAGTATCGAGGTTTTTATACCTAGAGCCAGTGTTTTCACTGTATTCTCGATTCAAATTGTCACCATGCTCGAGGGAGTTTGTTGAAGAACCAGAATATCTAGTAGACCCAGAATTCTTATTCTCTCTTGTATTATCATTATTAATTTGAGCTGTGTGAAGACTTTCATGGGCTGGAATGTCACTTCTCGTCCTGTTTTCCTGCTGAAGAGAACTCGACAATTCAGCTTTAGGTTGCTCGTTATTCATGAGCTTGGAATGAGGATGTCTTTTGTCCACTCCACCATTAATATTTTCATAAACATTTTTGTCCGGTTGCTCGTAAATAACTTCCTTTTCAGATTTAGGTATTGCATAAAAACTTGTGTTGAGCAAGTTTGAAGGCGATTTCATCTTTTCATAATCAAACTGTTCATAAACTCTTTCTGTTGCAAAATTTGGCTGTTCGTAAATATGCTCAACCACTTGTTCATAGCTGTCTCTTCGTTCGTTTTTCTCAGCACTCTTTTCGTCAAGAGGACATCTTATGGGGGATGGGTTTATATCCATTGGCATTTCGTAATAGCTTTCACTTGTTTTTCGTTCATTTGGGATTTCTGGCAACGGTTTTTTGTAATCTTTATCATTTCTTTGAGCAACACTTTGATCCAGCGGACATTTTGCGGAAGAAAGCGTCGAATCTTTGGGTTCTTCGTAAAGGCTTGTATTCGTTTCAAATTCCGTTGGATAATTTTGTGTAGTTATCCTTCGTTCTTCAAATTTAGGTTGTTGATAATATTGTTCATTTTGTGGAGTTTTGTTGGTGAAGTCATTGTTATGAACGTCGCCATGTTTTAGATGTATGTTTTCTGTTTCCACTTTCCTAACTTGACGATTCGGTTCTTGATAATATCCTTCGTGCTGTTCCGGTGTTAGTTGTTGTGGGGTTTTGTTCGACGAATTTTTGTTGTAGACTCCAACTTGTTTCGAATGAATACTTGGATTTATTTCAACAGTTTTTAATGTCCTTGCTCTAGAATTGGGCTGTTGATAATAATCTTCATCTTGGTTCGTTATTTCAGCTGTTTTCAACGTCCTCACTTGAGAATTCATGTTCTGATAGTAATCTTCATTCTGGTCAGGGTTACTTCCTTGTTCAGCAGTTCTGTTTGATGTGAAGTTTGACTTTCTGTTGGGAACTGTGTTTCCATTTTGTTTAGGATGACTACTCTGGTTTGTTTCCAATGTTCTAACTTCGAACGTTGGTTGTTGATAATAACCTTCATCATATTCTCGCGTTATTTCAGAAGTTGGATTCTGTATAGATCGTGGCTGAGAGTTGTAACCTTTGTTTTCAACTTGTTTAAGATAACTACTCTGCTTTGTTTCAACTGTTCCATTTCTCCTAACTTCAATATTTGGTTGTTGATAATAGTCTTCACGCTGGCTAGGTGTTACTTGTTCACAAGTTGTATTCGGTCGATCGTTTTTAACTTGTTTAGGAGGAATACGGTAGCTGGTTTCAGATCTTTCCATTGTGTTTAACTCAGATTTAGGTAGTTGGTAATAGTCGTTTTCCTGTTCTGGTGTTGGCGTTCTGTTTGTTATAAATTCAAACTTGCCTTGGGCCTGGTAAACGTTACTCTCAACTTGCTTCGAATGATCAAAACGGCTTGATTTAACATTTTCATAGTTCTCATAACTTGTGTCCCTAACTTCAGATTTAGTCTGTGTTTTGGGATCAACATACTGACTAGTTTGCTTTGGGTGAGCATCAGTTTTGTGCTTGGAAATTACTTCTTTACCATTTGATTCCAATTCGGATTCTTGATAATTGGTAATCGGTGGATTAGTTATCAATTGATTAGTTGTCAATGGATTATTTATCGACAGTTCTTCAGTTATCGATTGGCCATCGATAACGTCAGTGGTCCCAGGTTTTGAATGAGTGTAGCATACATCAGTCTTGGGAAGAATATTATCTCTGTTCATCTCAGAATTTGGTTCACATTGAAATTTTTTGTCCGTTTCAATAATTCCATTACGAGAGGCGGTGTTTGTCTCAGGCTTTAGTTCTTCTTCAGGTTGCTGGCTAGGTTTCTTTGGGGAAACTGCGCTTATTTCTGTTGTGAACTGTCTCGAAGGTTTCTTATTCATTTCATTCGTAGGTTGATAGGAATACATTGAGTTTACTTGAGGATTATTTTCATGTCTTGGGATGCTCTGTTGAGGTTGGAATCTAGCTTGACCAATTGTGCTCAATTCTGAGGCAGAATGACTGGTAATCTTTACGAGTTTTTCCAATCTAGGTTTTGTTTCATATTTTCTTTTTATCTCTGGATCAGACTCTCTTGGTATCTGACTGGTGGGGTGAATCTGGTCCAGTTTTGATGCAGAATGATTAGTTATCATTGTGGTCGCTTCAGATTTCGATGTATATCTTCTTTTCAATTTTGTTTCAGGATCAGATTTAGAGTTTAGTTGAGGTCCCACATTCTGGGGTAAATCTTCCTGGGGTGCAAGTTTTCGAGGTATAATTTCCGACGTGAATTCTGAACGAGGATTATTAGCGACAATACGAGGTGTGAGTTTCTGTGGCGACTCTTGGGGCAAAGTTCCGTGAGGGACGTTATGCCGGTATGAAACTTCCTGGAACGCGAGTTCTTTCGATTGGTTTATCATTGACGGACGGTTCTTGCTGTTGGATTCCGGGAACGTTTTGGATGTCTGCGTTTCGTGCACGGAGCGAAGAAACGTTTCAATGTCGGGTTTCTTCACGGTCGATCTTAGCGTGCTGATCAACGAAAGTGCTTGTTTTGCAGGATCTTGCGTGCTATCTTCGCGTGAATCGCGATCGCCAGGTGTGACATCACCACTTCTGACGTAATTGGTTGTGACGCCATCAGTCATGACGTCATCAATCATGGCGTCATTAGTAGTGACGTCACCATTCGTGATGTCACCATTCCTGACGTCATTTATGCCATTATTTCTGACGTCATTGTTGGTGCCGTTGTTGTAATTTTCTCCACTATCAAAACCGTCAAAGGCATCATCCCAAAAACTCGAATCAACGCTTTCGACTTGCTGAACCTTCTGAGCAGATATCATCTCATGAGCCAGGGGTCTCAATTTCCCACCGGAACTTTCTCCCACCTCGGTATCTATCGTCCCACCGGCACTTGTTCCCACCTGGGAATCCATTTTATCGAAATCTAAAGGATCGTCCATATACAAGCCCAAAGACTTCGATCTGCGGTGCACGGGCTCAGGCATATCCAGTGCATCATAATTAAAGACAAAAGAGCCGGGAGGGGCAGATCTCCGACGTTCTGGATAGGCCCCGGGTTTTGACCCTACCGGTGAATTGACTACACACAACTTGCTATCTCTGTGAGCTACGTCACTGCCTTCGAAACCTAGTTTCCAGGCCACTATGTGAGGCTTCTTGATCTCACGGTCGAAGGAGTGTGTATATTGCGTAATATATACTTCTTCCATCCGGCCTTGCTCAAGGGACGTTTCCCCGGTGGGTTTAAGCGTGATGCGACATAATTCCGGGATACTACGAGCCCGGTAAAACTTCATGCGCCCGCGATGATTCTTTTGTGGGCTTATTTTAAGCTCTATACGATCGGGCAGCGGTTCAATTCGCCTCGGAGAACGATCGCGCGTACCTCGCTCCAAGGCGGTAACATAAATTGTTTGATCGTATACCTTTCTGCCACGACTAGGTTCATCAGTTTCATTCACTTGCACGCCAGGTGGCTTCATCTTGTACGCTGGAATCACACTAGAGAACAGAAATAAATGCAGTTATGATAATTGTCATGATATACAAAAATCTTCAACCTTCCTCCCACTAAAATTCCATTATGGTAATATAATAATTATAATATAGCATTTGTAAATTCTGAACGCTGATTGGCTAAGAGCCGTGTTAATATAACTCGATGTCAACACGGAAAATTTCTTTCTTTACATTTTTTGGGCTATATTATAAAAAAATATATAAAACATTTTTCCGTATTGATATTAGTACAGTTATATCAACACTCGTGGAAATTGGGAAAACTCGAATTTGTGTGAAAACACTCCGCCCTTCGGGCGTCGTATTTCCACACAATTTCTCGTTTTCCCAATTTCCACTCGTGTTGATATAACTGTATATATCAACATGGAAAATGTTTTATATTTGTTAAATCATAATTTATTGACTTGTAAAGTGCTCTAACTATAAATATTCTACTGCGCTGATAAAAAAGGTTATCAATATTTACACTCTCAGTAAAAACATAATCTAATATCAGTCTCACAAGTTAAAAGCCTTCTTAAATATTAAAATGTGTCTTCAATTGTTTTTTTTTAACGTGGATATTGGTTAAGTTCGTAATATCTGAGAGAAGAGCATTCCACAGTGTTGATCTCGATGAAGCAAACGAACGATCTGTAAAAGTCTTTCTCAGGTCCTTGGTATGTTCAATACCAAGTGATTATTCGATTAATAGAAGACGGTTAGGGAACTCGATGCAGATCTTCATAATATACCTCATTATCTATGTTTTGTCTTGGTTTATGCAAGAATCTAGACAAGTCTGGACAAAAATTTCATCACAGCTTGAAAGAGCGTCACAAAAAATTAGTAATATTCCGAACTTTCGTTGCAAAATGTTGTAAAATGCGGATAATATAGCCTTGCGAAGTTTGCAATTTTCAGTCATTTTGTATTACAAATGGGAAATTGATACTCAGTCTGATCATCTTTGTAATGCAAAATGACTGAAAAACGGCAAACTTCGCAAGGCTATATTATCCGCATTTTACAACATTTCGCAACGAAACTTCGGAATATTACTAATTTTGTGATGCTCTTTCAAGTTGTGATGACATTTTTATCCAGGCATATCTAGATTAAAATTTCACTCATAAGGGGAAAGGTCTATTAAACCAACACACTGCTATTGGTTGCTCTAGCGAAAAAACAATACACTCGTGACGATGAACCGACCATTTCTCCCATAGACCAAGACAAAAACATAGATAATGAAGTGCACAGTATTATGTCTGCATCAAGTTCCCTCACCTTGTTATTCTATTGACTATGATCGAAGCCGCCATACCAGAGGGCTTATAGTTGCATTTTTTGCAACTGTTCCTGGTTAGGTGTAAAAAATGTATAAAATTCAAATTTCCATCTACAAAACCTATCTACAGTTATTTCTATCAAGTGAGAGATGCCCAAAGCCCTAAGTACACCTACAATTTACCCAAGTGCTGCTCAAACTGTGAACACGCCTTCAAAAAATTAATGTCTTAATCTAACTATTGTCTCTAAAGCAAGCACCCTACAAGGACCCGGCTGTTACATTAACCACATAATATACCAAACAATACCATGGCGTGTGTCTGTCAGGAATGCCAGCCACTCGACTGGATAATTTATTCTTAATGTATTCACATATGCCATTGTGATGAATCATATGTTGACAAGTGTAACTTTAATGATAACAGTTGCAGTCAGCTAGGGTTAATTGCTCTTATACGACAGGAATTCCGGTCAAACAAGTGTTGTGTAGGTAGGAATGGAGCTAGAATTTGCATTGTTAAAACTACGTTTACACACGATTAATTGGGCCGATTTCAGATTTTGCCGAATGTTAATGACGAATGTTGTAAGTTGACGATGTCCTCAGATGACGTTGACAGCGTATTTTTCAAATATCATTTAATTAAAGATGAATCGGCCCGATTAATATCGTTGTGTGTAAATAACGTACTTTAAGAAATGTTTGAGGAAACCGAATCAGTGTTTAACACCAATCCTTCAAAACTTAGAATTTACATACGCAGAATTCCTACTGTGATCACAGAAACTTTGATAGTGTTTATATAGCTAGATAGACCAGTCACGAGATTTTAAACAGGAATAATAACTAACCCGTATCTCGATTTGAATGACTCAACGAGAATCTTGACTTCTCATGAGAATACATGAAAGTTGGGAGAATTTAATAAAATTTGATTATTGAGTTTTGACTCGCTTGCTAATTAGAGTTAATGAGCCAGCTACATTCTTGACTCCTTGATCGGTTACGATAAGAATTTTAATACGAGAGCGTTACATCTCGCATGATCGCTAACTTGTATCAACTCTCTTTTATCAACTTTTGCGATCGTCTGATCAAGGCATGAATGTTGAAGAAACTCTCATGCAAATTTTTCAATCCCAACTCTCACGGAATCCCTTTCACTCGCCAACACGAGAGATGAGAATGCTCTCATGTAAACTCTCGTTCGACAAATCGCATGCAACCCTTGTTCTCGTTTAGCCAAGCAATGAGAGTTGAGGAAACTCGCATGCAAACTCTCACTTCTCAACTTTAAACGACTCTAAAGGCAGATTTACATCACACAACTTTTGCCTAAAACTGTCGCATGCAACTTGCTTACAACTTGAGTTGTACTGTGTAAATCAAACACTCAACTCATCTACAACAACACAGGTGAGTTGTGTGCTTGATTTACACAGTACAACTCAAGTTGTAAGCAGGTTGTATTCGACAGTTTTAGGCAAAAGTTGTGTAGTAAAATTGGTCTTAACTGACAGTGTAAATCGGTCTTACAGAGCGAGCTTAAAAAGGAAACAAATATATATATTACCTTAATAATTGTCGCTACACATTCCTTTCAATATAACAATCCATTAATTTTCAATCACCACGCAAGAACTCGCTTCCTGGAGCAAAAACTACGAAATTTTCAAGTAGCATCTACTTAATATCCTTGCTGTAATAATTTGAAAACAAAGTTAGGAGTTTCTCACGATATTTTTGGCCGTCTTTTGTGTTGTCCAGCTTCCCTGTAGAGCGCTTTTCAAATTTGCATCGCATGAAACAAACTACTAATTACAAAATTATTTTATGAATACTTATGAAAGGCTCTTAGAGAAATATGTATGCGATTATTTTTCGCTTGTATATATTGGTCTTTTTACCCTCAATATATCTCAAGTGCTTGAGTACAGGAAGTGATGAGCAATATTCACGAACTTGGTTAAAAGATCTAGTTAAAAGATTAAAAACCCTTCGACGTTTCAATCCAAAGCCACAAAGCAAGGCATCGAATTGCGTGAATTTTAGATCTAGTTCAAGCCTTGAACTTTTCATGTGCCAAACGGAATACAAATGAGCAGAAACAATGAGGTCATTTCATTATGTTGGATACATGTTTAATGCGACGTTCACAGATTTTTAACAAATTAACTTGTGCTACTTTCTCTAAAATCTGATTGGAATTCCAATAGGAATTTCTATTGGAAATTGGCCCAAATTCCATATTTAAAATCCATTGAACTTCCAATGGAAAAAATCAGATTCCAATTGGAAATTGGTCCAATGTGTATGTACAGTAGCGTACATGCATGGGTTATGTACAGTAACGTAATTGTTGGAAAATTCTTGGTATTTAAAAAACAAACCAGGAAGCTGTACTAAAGTCATTGTATTGAATTCATTAGTTGTTTTTTTAACTCAAATGCGTTACTCAAAGCAATTCATCACTTAGCAAATGAACACAAAGTTGCTGATGGATTTCAGTACTACTGTTCAATACTTTATTTTTATCATCACTTAGCAAATGAACTGTGGTCAATGTGGTCAATTGGTCATGCATTGGATTTTTTAAAAGACTACGTTTATTTCTTCAAGTTTGTAGAAATCAATGTATCGTCTTAAGACTACATAATTTTGTTGATGTTACCAGTTGCAATGGCAGCTTTGCTATAGTAAATTTTCAACTGCAAGCTCTTTTCAGTTTGATGCAGTGCTTGCAGCTAGCTCATTACTGTACTTATCAAGGCTTTCAGCCAACAGCAAAATGGGCTTACAGTAAGGACTATTTTCAAACTGCAGAATCTACTTATCAAGGCTTTCAGCCGACAGTAAAATGGGCTTACAGTAAGGACTATTTTCAAACTGCAGAAGTTGAAATACCTCTCAGTCTGCCCAAGAAAGTGAGCTCCATATATTTCTGGAGTGAGAATTCAAGTTCAAAAAGTGAAGCCAAAGATGGGTGTCAGTTCCAGTCCCTTTCTATTGTATTTATCTGAGTCCTACCAAGGGTGTAACCCAGGTCGCTTGTTACTCATTTTGTAGCTACTTTGTCACTTGTTTGATTGTAATAAATGTCGCTGTCACTTTTGACCCATAACACAAATCGCAATTTGTCACTTTTTCCCAGTGCAGAAGCTGTCGTTTTATCTGCACGGCCGGACACAAAGCTGGCAAGGAGTGTGCCAAACTTTCCTATTTTGCCATCAATTTAAACAATAATCCCATGGTTTTTAATGTGAACTGATAACTTGTTTAAAACTGTTTACAACCTTCAGAGCTATTGGACATCAATGACTGCCATCTTGATTTCACTTTTCTCATAGAATGACTCAAGTTCACGCTCCAGATATATATAGAGCTCAATGTGTCAAACCAGGATCAATCTAAGCTACTAACCTTCTAGCCTCCTGCGCAGACGTTGTTAGTGGCCCGAGGCCTCACCTAACGTCTGCTCACATTCGCTATACATTTGACTTCCCGGCAATTAACCAATCACAATCATCTACACGATAATTGGAAGATCGGCCTTCAATGACCTTCACACG